GAAGCAGAGAGGGGCAGAACTGAGAAGAGTATGAGGATTGCTGCGGTAAATCTGCAAGTGAAATTACAGTAAATTTGCTCCCTATCCGTATTGCCATCATGCCTGCAGGCCCTGATGGTGACAGTGACCTCTACGTGGCACTGCAGCATGGAGAGGATTCGGTCCAAAGAGTTTCTGGTCTAGAAGAGGTTGGAGGGGAGGAGGGATGGGATGTTCCCTCTTCAAGGTTCCTAGCAGCACTGGAGTCACAGCCCAGATCTGTTCAGTGTTGCCCTCTGCTGCAGACACCGCCAGTAACTGGGAAGCTGATTTATAACGTGGCCATGCTTTGGGGAGGAGAGGGATGTAAACCTGGTTTTGCAATGCACCCTGCCTTCAAAAAATCCTTTCAACTTAAAGATACTTCGCTTTCCTGATCCTGAGATCTCTTCCCCTTGAGAATAGGGCTTTGTGGGCTTAGGACTCCAGGCAAATACCTTAGGAAGGACTTGCTCTAGAAAAATATCATCGAAAAAGAAAAAAATCCCCCCCCAACAGCGCTGTGCGCCTGCTGAGGAGTCCCTTGCTGCCTGGTCCCCCCTCTGAGCCACCAGCCAGCTGTGCTTCTGGCTCCGGGTCCTGCACCTCTCCATCTGGGTGCAGGCTTGGACCTGGGTGCTTCTTAGAGTTGCTGCGCCTTGATCCTTGAAAAACAAAGTCTCACACTGATGCCTGATCTTTAGTGGGGGAATATTTAGGATCTGCATCTCCCCAGTGTGCTCGTTAGTGCTGTTCTGCTGCTGAAGTGTTAACTGCTGCTCAGAGGAGGGGGCTGCTTCCAGCTCACATCTGGCTCCTGGCAGTGAGGCATGTGGCTAGCACAGTGTGCGGAGCTCGTGCTGCGTCCCTGTAGTCGCTGGCTGAGCTCCCAGAGGCTAATTCCTTTTTGGTAGGAGAATGAGAGGGTGGGGGGGGGGGGCAGAATCCAGCCTTCAATTGATTGCTGTTCTTTGCTTTCTCAAAAGCTGGCTCACAGCTTCCTGAGCTGCCTGGAGCAGTTTTGAGCCCATCTTAGTGTGAAGAGCTTTCCCTTTTCTCCTTTCACTCCATTGCCCTCAGAGACAAGCCAGCAGGAGGGGGTTAGAGTGTAACTAGCTTTGAATCCTTCTGTAAAGACAGATAAAACCTTGTGCTGTGAATGAACCCAGCTCCCAAAGATCCTTCCTAGTGCTCCTGCCGTCCTCTTGGTTCTGTGGGCTCGATTGTTGCTCTTAACTTCGGGGGAGGAGGAGGTTGTGGGGCGGGGGGGCGGCTGGATGCAACTCGCTTTCAGCCCTGCGAGGTCGCTCCCTGCGTGGGGAGCTGGCTCGAGTGAAGCCGCTGCCGCCTCTGCCTTTGTTGCCTCGTGACCCCAAGAATGGACAGC